GATCGATTATTATGGTGTTCGTTGCGAACACTCTGATAATCGATCTTCTTTCGTAGGTTTAATGGTAGATCAATCGATACATCGTAAAGCGCGCCGCGCCACTGCCGTTGAGCCGTTGACTCCATCGACTTTCTCCTCACCTTGCCTCTCGATGACTGTAATAGACCCTTTAGAATTTATGCTTCACCTCCTTGCACTGCAGTCGAGCGCACCCTTTAATGCACTCACTCAAAATCATTGATTATCTTATCTGGCAAGGGGCATTCATGCGTGTAGGTAAGCTATTACTGCATCTGAGAAGTTGATTCGCAAAAATCAACCAGCAGTACATAAGCATGAACGCGCTCAATAGCAGTTCAATGAGTATGATAAAGTTATCAGTTAAATTGATGACTACAATATGACGTCACATGAGAGCCCTTCTTCAGTGGATCGGGTTGAAGAGCAAGGACTCAATCTTTTTTAACCCATGGGGGATTCGCGAAGCGGCCCCTCTGAAACTTGGGCCATGTATTGGCTAGGAGTCGCACTGCCTAGTAAAAAAATGAGCTTCAGATTCAGTCACAACTACAGGGGAAACGCACATAGAACTAATAATACCAAAAAAGAACATCCGTCCAAGGCTTAGAGCAAGAAAGGAACATTGTTGGATATGTAGACTTTTTGAAATTTAGACATATTGTTCATCGAATAACACAACTTGCCCTTTCAACGGTTGAAAAGCGACACATTATCAATATAACAAATCATTTTGCGATTTTGTAAAATGTATTTGCCTTTAGGAGAAGAGAACGGTACGTGGTGTAATGGAGCGGAACTGAACCTTTGCTAAACCTTAAATGAATCCTGATTTTCTCTCTCTTCATATTCTTTCATTTTTCAAGCGAAAATGTTCATCAAAATTTAGAAGAAGATGAGAATCAGGGAGGGCAAGGATTCTCTTCGTATTATTTTCAATAAGCGGCCCTGATGAAAAATGAGCAATTTATACAATCGGGAATCTAATGATAATAATTAGACTGACTTAACCGAAATTATCCTACCTATATGCCATGTTTCCGAATGTTCTCTATTGTTTTATTTTTTTAAGAAAGAACGGATACCCAACGCCTCGAAACTGTGTATTTGCCCTCCTATGAGGAATATATTTACCAAAGTTTCAGTGTTGATCAATTTTCGGTTTAAAAAATGAAACGTCAGAAAAAATGAGGCAACCTCTTATGTGGTTACGGTGATTTTCGTTAAATCCGTCCAATTGATCATTAATAATTTTATTCTCATCGAAGTAACTCCGGTGAGAGTATTTTCTTACCCCTATCACGCCAAATTAGATATAGGTTGAACATATCTTAGACACTGATCATCAGATTTGACTTTTCTTTTTTGTTTTTGAAAAAATGCTTTAAAGTTGCAGGACTCGCAGGACTTCAAAAATTGAAATCCTCCAAAGATTCTGCGCTCCCATCTACAATAAAACTCAAAATGGGTAAATAATCGATTTAATCGATGGGTTAAATAATCGCAATTTCTCGCTTGCGTTAAGTTCTATGATACGTGTATATATACATCCACGTGACCCTTAATTTTTGGAAAAATCCCAAATTACAAAAATGACCTAAAAGCTTCGACTCTGCGAGCTGACGTTGATGATAATCAATTCGGCCGCGCCCAGAGGCGATATTGCAAGTTGGCAACACTTCTGTTCCTCCATTTAAATCCATTAAAAATATCGATTGTAGGTGAGGTGAAGAATCGATTGTTTTATATGCATTTAAAAGGAGGGAAAAGATTGTTGCCAACTTTCAAGAATCGCCATTGGCCGCGCCTGCTAAGGGAAATCGTCCCAATTTTCTTTCGGTGAACTGAAAATATAGAGAGAAGTAGGCGAATAATTGTCCTTCAGTTTTTCAGAGAATTTCATTTGCAATTTAATATATGCATTATGTAAAAAAAATATTAAGGAAAATGTTGATATTTTTTTCAAAAATTAATTGGTGATCCGGAGAAACTTGGCAACATCCGAGTTTTCATTCGACGTTTTTCCTTACCATGACAAAATTGCACACTTGCATACCATCCTCATGCCCATCAGCGCAGTTTCGAGAATAACTGTGTGTAATTTCGCCCTCTGTCTCGGGTTATTCCGATCAGATATGAAGTAACTCTTTGTTAAAGAAGATTTCGAAGCGAGTAAATGAAAATTAATTTTGCAAATCGAGCCGGACCTGAAAAACAAAACCCCTCAGGGAGTCTCCGCCCTCCACCCCCCCCCCCCATTTCGTACACTTATCGGTCCTACTGTGTTTCGAAGATGTTCTTCGTATTCCTCCGGTCTCAATCTATAAAACGATCTTTGTTGGCATAAAGTGAGCATAATAATAGAATTCCAGTTCTTTCGTATTATGCAGGCGTATTAAAAGTGTTAAAAATAATAATGTTTTAAAAAATGTTTGCCTCTCGAATTCAATATCACGTGTATAAGGTGTTTTTTAAACACATTTGACAACTAAGCACGCCTGAAACTGACCTGAAACAATAATAAAAAGAAATAAAAATGGAGAAAATGACAGGACAGCGCTCAATTAGACAGCGGAGCAGCAGCTACGACAATGTTTCCACCTCTGACTCGCGCAAATCCATAAAAATGACCTGGCTCAAGCCGTTCTCATTGTGCCCTACCCCAAGTGCTTTCTGCCGATTGATTTGAATTCGAATAAAGACCTGACTCATTTTTTATGACCTGGTCAGGTTAGAGATGTGGAGCCATTACATCGTCACAAAATGACGTTGCCTTTTTATAACCTCGGAGAGAAAAGGAATATTATACGAAAATGGAATTTAAATTGAAAATGAAGGATCAATCACAGAATTGATTGCTGTTCATAAGGACAAAACAAAACCAAAAAACTGCTGGAATCGTTTCCAGTGGTCAATGAATCACTGGAAATAATGATCAACGATGCCTTTTTTAAATGTTAAAGGAACAATCATTTCAAACGTAAATTGAAAAACCGTTCTGTAAACAGCCTCCGATTTTGTCAATATGCAAAACTGCGGGCTGATTATTGAAATTGATAGACAAAGCTATAGACAAAGAGGACATAGGGAGTGTGGAGCAATGCCATTGGTTGAAATGGGTGCGGTTGCAATGGACGAAGCAGGTACGTAATAGACTAACTAACGGCAACTGACAAGAGACCCTACAGTTAGTGTTTAGTTATTTTCCCCCTTAGTCTCTATGAACCACCCATTGCAACCAATGGAATCATCCCGTCTTCCCCATATCTTCTGTGTCTATCGCTTTGTCTATCAATCAGCCTGCTGATCGACTCTCCGGTCGATTTTTGGACAGTAGTTTACTCTCTTAATCCTCACTTAAGTATCATTATTTTCCCTCTCCAGTGTACCCACGTCATGTCAGTATCAGTACATTTCCTTCCCTCACCCTATCTTACTTTCTTTTATTTAGTTTTTTTTTTTATTAAGTTCCTTATTCAACTCATTGTCTAGCCGCACACACGGCGTGCATATTACAATCATACGAAATTAAGGCGAGTAACGAAAAAAAGCCATAAAATAAGGCAACCTCATATTTACGACCCGAGACGGAGAACTTTCTATGAACCATTCTCAAGCATAAAAATGTTGGAGGGGGCGTAATTTTGATTTGCCAGACGAACGGATGAGCGGAGCGCGTCGATAATCCTGGAAACAGCGTCTTCTCTCCTCCTCCTCCTCCTCCTCCTCCTCCCCCTNGGGGGGGGGGGGTCCTAATGGTCACACTGATTGTAAGACCACGCGGAATCGGAGATGTCAGGGGACGGAAGCGAGTGCGAGACACACAAGCTGCGGAATCGGTGGGAAGCACTCATAATCTTGCGTTACCACCGGATTTGCAGATGTGGCGAAATCAAAGGCTTGCAAATTTGCTTTGTCTCGTTCCGAGAACGACTCGCAATTGACGCAACGACGCATTCGATCATTCGCGAGGATGCCACGTTGAGATTTCGATCGTGTAACTAGAGGTTCACAAGATAAATCCTCCAATTACGGAGAACAAAAAAATTGTGAGTTGTATACTCTTGAAAAAATCAAGTCCTTTCGTTGTCCTTTTGATGGTCCTTTCGTTGACAGGGCAGATTGACAGGGCTAGGGAGCTCGCACCTCAGCACTTCTTTAATTTTTGTCAGGAGGGTTGTTTCCGCAAAATGTAAGGGCCCTGCAGACATTTCTACAGGAATCTCTTAGGACCTCATCTTTTTAGCCATTAGAAGGAGCGCTCGGCGAGGCCCTCCCACCGGATAATTTAGAGTCGATCCGCCCCTAAAATTGAATATTAAGTTATTTTTTGCGTGACGTCATCTGCTACCTCTGTGTGCGGATGTAGTGGTTTCTCTCAATTTGATCTGGCCAACGCTGCATATGTAACAAAAGGCAAATGTGTATAACCCCTAGTCGATCATCTCTGACATAGTTGGTCCATAGCATGCCACCAACGTCTTGGATGGTGTCACTTTCTTATACTTTCAAACGCCATATCCAACCCTAATTAGAGCAATTTGACGGTTGGAGCGGTCACGTTATTTTCTGCTACGTTTTGGGATGTAATCACGGAAACATGATTCTGTGGTATGGGCAACAGACCCATTTCTAGAAGAACTTGTGATTGCCTGCTTACTTGCATTTTTTTTTTGCATATTCACACAGAATGATCTCAAAACAATAGAGAATTACAGCAGCTTCAAAGAATTGAGAGATTATACCTACCCCAACATATGAAATCATCACATTTATTTCCAAAAGGGCGAACAAGTAGGTGAATAAATCAAATTACTCTGAATGACTATTCTTATTTCCTGTCAAAAGCCTGTGCGTCATTGTTTTTACAACACTACATATCTAGCTGCACGTTGCCTAATGTTGATCATGCATCAGTATGTCCGAAAACTTGGACCGTTGAGCAAAATAATGTTTGATTTTCCTCCTTTTTACTGTTTCAGATCGTGCACATATCTTTGACAATAATACTGGACGGGTCAGCTATTAAACCGTAAGTTGAATCTTGAATTATTCTGTTTCATAAACCTCATAATTCAAGTCATAAAATCCCTCTCTCGCCTCAATAAAATCACGAGGTTTAAACGGCAAGGACTAAACAGTGATACAAAAAGAATTTTAAAAAATTGCTCGACCCGCAAACCGGTTTTCGCGAGCGGACGAAGTGTGTGAATTTAAAACGAACCGTTAATAATAGGCGGTCTTTTACGCAGCTTCTTACGCTGTTACTATTAAAACTTACTCGGGCTCGAAAATGTAAAATATTACTTACACTTAATGTTTTAATGATCGGTTGGCAGCCATTAGAGGGCCGTGGAATACTCTATAATCATTATAATTATACAAAAAAATAAACTGCAATTTCATACCGGCCACTGCATAAATTGCCAGGTGTTAGTCTCTAAATGAGAAAATGAGACAAGGAATTAAGGTAGAAAACTACGAGTAGGCTCTTACGTAAAAAAAATTATACAGTTTTAATTATAGTCTCAAAATACGAACAGCAGAATAACAGAGAAAAGACAGAGGGTTCTCTATGCTGGATCTAAAATATATTTTAATCCATCACGAAAACATCATACCTAAGTACTTTAATGACAAATTCTAATTGTTTTCAACCTATCTACAACTAAAAAGTAAATATGTGAGGGTGAGGGTGTGTGTGTGAGGGGGTGAGAGAGGGTGTTTGTGTGTGTACAATACGATATTCAATGGAAGAGGAATAAAAATGGTCTCCAATTGGCACATTTTAAAAAGGCGTATAAGTTTACGGAAGTCCAAATTTAACAGTCCATGCCACTGGGGACTTTTCATGAGCTGGTATTAAGCTAGGTTTCTTACAAGGCAGCTATTTTATGCATAAGTTAAGTCGTCATCAGAAGTTATTCTCAGCGAAATATATCACTCAGATTTTCACAAATGAAGGAAGAACCACACACAGGAAAATATTTTATTGAGGCCATGTCAGTTCGCCTTCAATTTCATTTGAGGCAACCCGAGCTCCCACGTGGTCGAATAGTGGTATTATCGTGAAATGACACGTGCACCAGAGTTAAACTCAAGAAATATCTTTATATCGAATAGTAAGTGGCTATTTTAACATCTCATCGGTTTGCCTTCAATTTTTAAGGTAGGCAAGACGAGCTCCCACGTGGTCGTTTAGTCGTATCGTCTTCGTCATTCATATATTGGTTAGACGGTCCTTGTCCGCGAATTTGGTGTAGACACGATAACTATTATTTTATCTCTCGACTTATTCAAGTTTTTCAATGTTATGGTTTAATGTCCGATGAAAGCCGAGTCCCAAGGGTTCAAGTGCATGTATCGTTTACCAATAAACGGTCAGTAACGTGAATGTTACCTTATGGTGTTTTCACGAAACTGTTCTTATTTATGTCGCGTGCGGGGAAAAAAAGAAAAGGGAAAGGAGAGAAAAGAGAAAGAAAAAGAAAAAGAAGAAATTTTGTAGTAACAATGCCGTTTGAACACCGTGTCTCGTAAAATGTGAATGAAGAAAGATGCGTCTTCATAATGTTGCGGCACTACCGCCTTTTTGAACATGCATATTTTTGGAGACTTAAACGCTCGGATAGAAAAGTTGACAACTGCATAAAACAGCGTCGCCGATCGTTACCAACTTACCACGTACAAATACACCAAAAAATTTGTCTTCTTCTTTCAGTCTTTCTCTCCTTCAACCCCCGTGTGACAACCCCACCCTACCCCTTCCTCGTTTGCTGTTTAGGTACACGCGTCTCTTCTAGCGATACATACCGCAACCTCGAACTCCCCTCTTCCCTTAAAGCGTTACATACAAAATGAACGGTCCCTAACCATGGCTTCTCTCAGCCTTCACCAGCTGCAACGTAGATCTAAAGTCCATATCTGCTTCTGTGCAGCATGGACTTTTTTTTATGAATGTTACTAGTCTATACTGCCGTGCTGAGGAAAAACGCCGTATGAGCATTTAGACGCTGCCATATTTCCTTCAATTAAACTCGATTTACTCGGAAATTTGTGAATACTTTTTTCAAATTTTTCGGACAATTTTGTTGGCATTTTTACCCAGAATATCTGTAAATTTCAAGGAAAAATATGAATGACTTCTCAATAACGCATGCTTTATCTTGGTGAATTTGGCAACTCTTAAATGAACCACATTTTGCAATTTGGAACTATAAATTCTAGCCCGGTTTAAAAACAACGTATATGCCATTAGTTTCCCTATGCACATAAGTGTTTTTCCAGAAGAGCCAGAATTTATAGTGCCAAATTGCAAAATGCAGTCCAAATGTTCATACGGCGTTCTCCCTTAGCACGGCAATGTAGAAATCCTTATCCACGCACTACACACTACATCCACAGTATAGATTGTATAACGAACTGCAAGACTTCAAATCGACTAAGCGTCATAAATATGTATGTTTGAATAGCAGTAATCCGTAAAAGTTCAAAATGACTTGAAACAAGTGCCTTTCAATCAGGCAGGCAGGTAGTCGGGATGCCGAACGGGTCAAGCGGAACACCCTCTTACGATTAGTTGAACCGCATAGACACATACGATTTTCTGCAATTTATTATGATTGATGAGAACTGAGACAGAATTGAGAAATTTCGGATTGAAAGGAGTCGGTGGCTGGCGCGCGCTGAGCTGGTGCGGTGTGGTGTGGTGTCAGCGGAGAGGAAGAGAGGGGTTTCTCGGTGGTTAGACTGTTCCGGTTTCGATGCAAAAGGTCACGATCCCGCTCGCGCCAAAACCGAGTCTTCCTGTTGAGCCGGATTGCGATATCGATGAGCACAGGCCCGGCAAACTCTGGTCCGCGCTTTCTGTTAACCGTGACAAAAGTTCTCGAATAAAAAATATTTACACTGAAAAACAAATCTCGATGTATTTATTAAGAAAAGGGTAAAATTACCAAGAATTCAGGGTTCTATTTGATCCCAGTTTTCTCTTGGTAAAATTACCATTTATGGAATTGGTAATTTTACCGAGAATCTCGGTAAAATGATTGAACTTTCTCGGTAATTTTGCTGGACTTTGGTAAAAACGCCAATATTTTTTATCGACTGTGGTAGAATTACCGAGATAAAATGGCAAAGTTTTTTTTTTTTTTTTTTTTTTTTTTTTAAAGTAAGTGTAAAATATGTCAGGGACCAAGTCATATCAGAAAATCCTAGTATTTATCTCCGTGTTTCATTCTTCGGCTCCCTTTGCGGTTCCCTCCGTTTTTATAGAGGAGAAAGGTCCAAAAGGAAAAAGTTCAAAGCTTTCAACCTAAGTCATCGGTAATTTATGAAAATACAGTCTTTCTCCCTTCAAGATAGGAATCAAACAAGAAAATGAAAGCATAAATCTATCCCCAGCATCGAGGAGCAGAGGCTTCTAGAAACCATTAAAATTAGCCCCTGAAGCGATTACATTCTATCTCCGACTGTCGAATAATGTTTATTAGTGGCAGCCATGCACTATTATTTCAATTACTCGGATGGAACCAATAATTGTTAAGTGATTATTTTGTTTTCATTCTGTGTGGTTTATCATGCATAACGAACGTATCGGCTGTTCGGCAAGGTCATGCAAGGTTGAACATTGTCCCAATTTTCAGCTCGATTCTCGCTCACTGTGTGACGATCGACTTCGGTGTGCAGGGAGTTCGCGATCTGTTCTTCGCCCGTGGCCCCTGTGAGGCAATAGTTCATGCGCCGCGCCACTGGTGCCAATTCATTTTCGGTTGACCACCAGTCCGTGTTGCCAAAGGGTAACTTCAGTACTTGTTCTGCAAACTCACTGGATATGCAGAGCTTTGTAATAAGGAAGATACAAACGAAGATTTTCCCCCTTCATCTTTCGAAAAGTGGAAAAAAGAAAAGGGGTCTCTTCAGAGGCATTACCTACACTTAGAGACGAACAGAACATCCTCTGGTATCCCAGCACAGACGATCACTTTTACTTTCGGGAATTCAAAGTTTTCTTGTAGGTACCTAACAACACTTAGTTTACCTTCTTGTTAGTGTTGAACGACGTTTTGAGTAAATTGTTCAACAGATGGGGAACCAAAACCGGTGTTTTTTAACAATTTGAGAAAATTGCTCAGCACGTTGCTTAACAACCGAGAGGGAAAGATTCCTGCGGGCTGATTATTGACATTAATAGACAAAGCGATAGACAAAGATGGCAAAAGGCAAATGGAGCGATCCTTTTGGTTGAAACGCGTGGTTTTTAAACACCTGCGGGCTGATTATTGAAATTGATAGACAAAGCAATAGACAAAGAAGGCAAAACGGATATGGAGGGATCTTATTGGTAGAAGCGGGTGGTTGCAATGGACGGAGGACGTACGTAATAGAGTAACTAACGGCAGATCACGAGAGAACCGATAGTTATAGTCCATCATTTACCTCTTTATTCTATAAGAACCACCCATTTCAACCAATAGGATCGCTCTATACTCCTTATGTCTTCTTTACCTATAGCTTTGTCTATAAATTTCAATAATCGGTCTCCACGGGGAATATAATGGTTTAACTGAAGTCTCTCATGCGTTACCGTTAGTTAGTCTATAGTCGTTCTTAACTCTTTTGTCCATTGCAACCACCCGCCTCAACCAATAGGATCGCACAACATCCTCTTGGTCCCCTATGCTCACTGGTTTGTCCATCAGTTTCATTGATCAGCTCGTAGGAGTTGAGTGGTGGATCCCCGAAGATAGTAAAAGTTTTCACTCGATGTCAGGAGGCTGGTGGATGGTCTCCGTAAGTCTTTAGGTACTGAAAAACTTTCATCATGGGCGGTGTAATTTCAAATTTCTATTCTCAATAAAAAATTGTTGAGAGGGTGTTTTGAGTGTTTTCTGTGAGAGGATAATAAAAACACTCATAGCCTTTTGTCTTCTATCAAGCCACGCATTCAGTAGCGTGACTTATAGATTTACCAAACAATCAAACATGATCATTAAGTCGCTCAATATAGCCTTACAAAACGGTTACCTATCT